TATATATATATATATATAGACACATAAATAGAGACACAAATATATACACTAGATAGAAAAAAATATATGAGAAAAAAAAAAGATATATATAGACATATATATATATACACACACATATATATATATATATATATATATATATATATATATATATATATATATATATATATATATATATATATATATATATATATATATATATATATATATATAGTTAACTTCAACTATAGTTAAGTGCTCGTGTTTTTGCTAATTAAGACGAGAAATTTTGAACTAAGTAAATGCGAGGAACTTTAATCGAAATCCTTAAAATGGCGGGGTTCAAATTGTATTTAAAACTATGTCGGCCGAAGGACTGATAAGTTATAGCTAATTGCCCTATATATGTATATATATATATTTTTTTAATTAACGCCGGAGAAAACATTACGACGAAAATCAATATGGACCGATGGAGGAGCAGTACGCGCCGGAAAAAAAAAAAAAAAATTGGCCATATGGCTCTTGAGCAGTACTCAGATATAGAAAACAGTGATGATAATTTGTATTAGGCGTTCGCGACTTGCGTGCATATGTTTTTGTCCAGTTCTTTTTCATTGATCGAATCGAAGGATTTTAAAATGGCGAAACCTTGTCGCCATGGCTGCATTTTGTTTGTTGGATGCTATATTTAGTAGGGCTGTACATATAGGATTTGGTTCGGTTCGGCTGTGAATGAAATGTATCAGTTTTTGTAAGATTAATTAATTATTGAATATGTCAATTTTATATCGGTTCGTGTGTTATTTTTTTGGGTTAATATTGGAGACACTTCTCAAACCAAATCTAATTAGAACATTTTAATTAAATCCTTAGTTGAAAATAAAATTTTACCAACATCCTTTTATTTTTTTAACCCAAAAATACCCTTATTATACCTAATAAATATCAGCGTTTCTTTTTCTCCTATTATTTATCTATTTCTCTCTCTCTCCCCCTCTCTCATCCGCCGCCCACCATGATTTTTTTCTCTCTTTTTTCAATTTTCCACCGCTCCACCATGGCGTTATTTCTCTCTTTCTTGCCCAACCCTTCCTCTTTCCCGCTTTATATTTCTCTCCTTTTCTATTTTCGGTAATGGTATTGACCTGGAGATATTGGTTATAGGAGTTTTTTAGATCGGATCTCGGTGTGGGGGCAACAGAAGGCGGTGGTTTTGGAACGCTCGAGTCGGCGGTGGTTTTGGTCACTGAGGATGGCGGGCGGTGGTTTTAGTCGTTGGGGGCAGCGGTGGTGTCGGTCGCTAGGGGCGGCGGCTGTTTTGGTCGCTGGGGGTAGTGGGTGGCGGCTGTTTTGGTCGCTGGGGGTGGCGGGTGGCGGCGGTTTTGGTCGGCAGGGGTGACGGGTGGCGGCGATTTTGGTCGTTGGGGGCAGCGAGCGGTGGTGGTTTTGGTCGATGGCGTCGGTGGTGGTTTTCTTCGATGACGACGGTAATTTTTGGTTAAGTCGATGTTGGGTTTGGAGAAGGGGAATGCTAATTATTAGAGTATATTATACCATATAAAAAGAATAGAATTGGAGAAAGAAAGAATTAATAATACGTAATAGAAACCCCCATTGTGTTATGGGTTGATTACGTGAAATATATGGTAACTCAATCATACTAGAATCCTAATATTACAAGAGTTATTATAATATAATATACTCTAATACTAATGAACATACAAAGTCAGACATAGAGGAAGAGGATGGAGGTGGTGGTGTGGATGTAGGGTTTCATATTGGATGAGTGCGAATGACTACGGTGTCTATGAATTACTATGAGTGTCTACGAATGGGTAGCGATTAGGGTTCAAAATGTGAGCTAGTGTTTTGAGAGTATGTGACTACGGAATACTATGGTTCCTATAGGTGTCTATAGTCGACTACGACTGATTTTTTCTTAAAAACATTCATTACTTTCAATATTAGTAAATTATAGGTATACCATAGTATACCATAGTACACCATAGTATTTTAAAATTTGCTTTTATATTTAACCAAAACGAAAAAAAAATCGTAATTTTCAGTACAATGTCAAAAAAAAAAATTTAAGTTGTTTATAATAATGTAAAAAATGCTAGAATGAAAAACGAAAAAATAAAGACAACAAAGTCTATAAAAATAAAATAAAATATGCTAGATGAAAAATAAGATATTAAATGCATAATAAAAAATGATAAATGCAGTTTGAATTTTACTAAATGCAAATTTCGAATTTGTGAGTGGAAGGGCATTCTTGGAATGAATTTAGTAAATGATGTGAAGCAAAGGTTTAGATTGACTTATCATTTAATTCTAATTAGTTTTGTCACCAGGGACCTATATCTTAACCCCTATTTTTTTTTTTGGATCCAAGGCCGGCCATAAAAGTATTTTATTTGTAAACACAAAGAATTAAAATGTCATTATTTTAACTTAACTTATATATAAATACAGTACAACGAATGGATAAATAATTTGAATAAAATAGAAGTTCTCATGCATTAATTTTGATCAAAATCTCATTAATGAAATCATAAAATTATAATAAGGATTTAGTTATTATATGGTTAAATGCCAATGCCAGCCAAAATCTTAGAATATATAACAAAGGTTGATTATGGGATGGATTTGCCTAAACTCGAGACACGAACAGACTCACCCCAATTCTTTTTTTTTTACAAATTGGGGGTCTAAGCGACCGCCGCCTACTCTCAGAACCGGCCCTGACCGTTTCTTTCCACCAGTTGCGGAGGCTCTCCAGCAAGATGCCGTAGACGAAGCCCTGCGACCAGGGGCGTACCCATAGGTATGGTTTGGGGTGCCACCCCTTTTAACAATTTTATTTTAATTATTTATGTATCAGTTAATGCACTTTCGCCCAAAAAAAATTCAATTTTATATATACACTTTAGTCAATAAATAAAAATAAAAAAATCTCTTAATTCACCCCATATTTTAGCCCACCAAGAAAAAACCCCGACTCCGCCCCTGCCCGCGACATGCAGACCAGACCTCTATGACTTTGACATTTTACTTGAGGGTGGAGTCTTCGGCTCGAGACCATATTGCGATTGCGATTGTTCGAGCCGGGACTGCAAACCGGGTTCTGCCCTTGAACTTGTTTCAGGAAACAGAGGAGAAAAGATTGAGAGAAAAAAGTTAAATAACAATTTACGACGAAAAACTGCTAGATTGGCCGATGAAAATTAAAAAAATAAATTAAATTGGGTAACTTGGCTCTTGGGCAGATCGAGAAGAGAGAGAAAACCGTACCGTGACAATTCTAATTAGGTTAACTGCGGCTTGTCTACATGCATGCATGCATGCCACGTTGTTTTAATTTGTCCCCTTCTATAACCAGTCCCCATTTTTTAATTGGCGGGGTCCCTTCCATTTCCAAGATGGTACAGTACGTGTGCCAAGTACACGAATTCAATGAATTAACTAATTATAACGGGGTAATTACATTTTTTGGCCCGATTTCACTTTTGGTCCCGCTTGTTCTAAAGTGAATAAAGTTCACCTCCAAGTTTCAATTTTAAACACTTTTGATCCCTGCTGTTACATGTCCGTTAGCAAGTAACGGAAAACACTATGTTGGGGTAAAAATTGAAATTTTAAATTTTTTTGGGGCTGAAAAATAATTATCAATTGAAAACAGACTACTTATAATTAAATTTGTAATAATATTAATATAATGAAATTTTATTAATTACTTTTTTTTTATTATTAAAAAAATAATCATAAGTAGTATAATTAAAACTATATTAAGTATAATTCACAATCATTTAGTTAATTAATTTCCTTTTTATTATTAAAAACAAAAGAATCGATAGGGTCGCTTCGGATTTTTTATTACCAACGAGGCTCCAAAACGTTTTATCATAGTGGAAAAATAAAATCTTTTTGGCAAAAAAAAAAAATTATCATTAAAAATTTAATTATAAGTAGTATAATTATAATAATATTAATTACAATAAAAAATAATTTGTTTAGTTAGTTAATTTTTTTGTTAATAATTTTTTTTAGCATAAGTAGTATAAATAATATTAAGTATGATTAAAAATAATTTGTTTAGTTAATTTTTTTTA